TGGCTCATACGGCCATTGGGGACGAGTTTCATATTTCCGATGCGACATTCCCCAATACTTACTGGCTAACAACATCTTGGGGTGTCGGGGCCGCGCTGTGCCCGCTTCTTGTGTTTCCTGTGATGGAGGACTTTGGCGTTCGACCTGTCCTTCTTACCACCTATTTTTGCTTTATTTGTTTTTTGATTCCGGTAGGGCTGGCACCAAATTTTGCCACCCTGATTGTGGTTCGATTCTTCAGCGGAGGATGTGTTCCGCTGATAAGCGACGCCGTTGCCGGTATTACATCGAATGTCTTTCACGGCGATCGAGCCCGGAGTGTCCCAATTTGTCTGTACGTGACCGTCTATCTGGCGGCGACAAGTCTGGGCCCGGTGGTTGGCTCTGCCATCCTGCAATTTTTGTCATGGCGCTGGATTGGGTACATCGAACTGATCTGGACCGCTGCCCTATTTCCGAATCTGGTCTTCGGCCTGCCAGAGAGCCGTGGGCCGGCGATCTTGCGCGCTGAGGCCAAACGACTGCGCCGCGAGGGGACGAATGCGTACACGACTGAGAAGATTGATCGGGTAGCATTACCTCAGCTTATCCTGCAGAGCGTCCAACGGCCTCTGTACATGCTATGTACTGAAGGGGTCGTGTTCGTTGCGACGGTGTGGGCTGCCTTCAGTTTGGGAACGATATATCTTTTTACGCAATCGGTCGAGCAGGTATACAAGGAGCTATATGGGTGGGATCCCATCCAGTGTGGATATGTCCAAGTTGCGATTGTGATCGGGGAACTCCTGGGCGGTGGATTTTGCATCCTAACCGATCCCTGGTACTATGCATCTGCGATCCGCAATATCGAGGCACCGGGCACGCCGATCCCGGAGGCTCGGCTCCATGCATCGATTATTGGTGGACTCTTTGGTGTTACGGGCGGCATGTTCGTGTATGGGTGGACATCGTACACTTCCATACACTGGATGGCACCTACCGTCGGCCTGGCGATGGTGGGGTTTGGGACGACGGCGGTCATCGTTGGCAATGCCAACTATCTCATCGACGCGTACAGCAAGTATGCTGCGAGCGCCCTCGGGGCGGTTGGTTTCGTCGAGAACATCTCTATCGCCTTTCTCCCTCTGGCCGCAGCAGCCATGTACACTAATATTGGATTTCAGTGGGCCAGCTCGCTGCTTGCATTTGTGTCCTTGGCCCTGGTGGCAACTCCTTTTGTGGTCCTCCAATGGGGCAAAGAGATCAGATCTTACAGCCCATTCATGCAAGAGGCCACTGTAGAGCGGAGGAGCGACTGTGCCGCGGCCGCAGGTGTATAGATAACCAGGGCCTACAGGCGCTACCTTTGATGCGATTCCATGCCCTGCTGGTATTGATCTTGCACCAAGCATGGCACAGCACCGTACTGGATCCAGTGGAACTTGCTCAACTACCCGGCCGTCGTAGTATCTACCCCCATGACGAGTGCTGATAAAGATAGTTGAGATCTTTATAAGCCAGCAGCCCAGATCCACCTTAATAAAAGCTGACCGCGAATGTATATTTACCTTTGGTGTAAATCAACCAAAGCAAAGCCGCATTTGCAACGGATAACAAGACACGGTATGTTTTCGATCCACGACGTGACCCCACCACACGTTCTCAAATCCCTTCGCCTCCTGCTCCGCCCATACTTCTTCAAGCAACGGAATGGTGCTCCCAAACATCTGATACCGCGTCCGGTCATTCCACACCGAGCAGAACTGCAGGATCTTCTGCCGTACCGATCGATCGCGTAGTTCGCAGCCCGCGAAGAAGAGTGGCAGCAACGCTTGCCGGGCGACCATGCTCTCGTCGCGACACGCTACCACATGGTCCACAACAATCCGGGCCCAACGGACAACATGCGTTGGAATCGGGCTTCCCGGATTCCATCGGAATACACGGTATATGTAGAGAAGCAGGCCGTGTCTCCATGCCTCCGAGCAGTGCATACAATCTTGGTCTTTTTGGATGTCCTCTTCGCTACTACCGAAGGCAAGTGCGGCAGGGGAGACGTGATGCCAGGTCTCGAGCGCTTGCTCGAGTTGGGCAATCATCGTGGTGTCGAAGGTCACGTACCGCATGGACGACGATTGGCGTTTTTCGGCACTTAGACGCACAACTTGCATGAGCAGCGTGACCACACTGTGTGGGCACCCACAGAGGTCAAAGAAATTCCACTTCCGATCATCGGGGTTCGATAGGATGGCTTCGACGTATGCGTACGGGAACACGCAGTCTTCCCGGGATAGGAGACTAATGATGGCATCCCACCTAAATAGTTTAGCTGGAAGTGCCGGGCTGACTTTGCGTAGAATCTTTGGTTGGGTGGGGGACTTATATACCACAACAGCAATCCTATTTGTGCGTCTGCCTGAGCGGACGTGGTCCATGCTTCGATTCCACCGCACGCTTCAATGAGGCCATAGGCCCCCTTGAGATGTGTACTCCAGTATCCAAGGGTGGATTGAGTTTCCTAGCTTTCGTTATCAACTTGGATTAGGTCCGAGCAACAAAGATAAAGGTGCAAACTAACGTCGAAGGAAAACAAGATCATAATCGCATCAAGCATGGAGGAGCCATATTCCACATTACCGGTTGCGTGGAGACTCTCGCGGAGGAGTTTCAATGCTGTATGGTGATGGTCATCGGTTGATGGGTTCTTAACATGATGACCCGCTAAAGCCATCACCGCATGGACCAGAAACATAGGTTCCGGAACGATGGTTTTGTGGTATCGAAACGGATTCATCTGTAAGTCGAACGTTAAGGGGATCGTGCAGAATTCCATATTGTCTATGACTTGTTAGTGGGCATTGACAGGAGCGACTTGGAGCAGAATAAGCGAACATCTCTGAAGGACAGGCCCAAACCGCTGCCAGATGTCATTGTACAGTACGCTCGGTGGCATATATGTAGTAGTGTTGGGGAGGTCTGAAGCTGCCATGGAACTTGACTCTATAGTAGTAGTAGTAGCGACTTGACTCGACCATCCATAGAAGACGTCTCCGTCAGCTAATTGTAGCTGTCTGTTGTCTGTCGGTGTAAATGAACACGGGGGTTGGCCTTGGTCTTCGCTGCTATCGCGATGTGGCTGTGATTCAGCTGTCCTAGGATCAGCAGCTCTAGTTGGCGATGCATCACCCGAGACCTCCAATGGCGTGTGTACGGAGAGGCTGGCCTCCTCGCAAACGTCGACTTTGAGAACGAGTTTCATGTTAGCCAAGAACCGTAACTATTACTAGTCTTCAGAAGCCAGACAAAGTACACGACAGGACAATACCATCAGGTTCGGGGTCTTTTTTGCCTCGTAATTAGTAATAGGTTCAACAGGCGCTTCGGAGGGTAGTTAAATGATGGCTAAGTTTGAAAATATATGGTCTTACAATCTCTCATAGGATGTTCTGCAACGAACACAAACTGCTGAGGTCCATCTGCGTTTCCCAACCGACCCCTATTGGTCCTACGGGCTGCTGACCTTCTTATGGGCTTATTGGAGAGAGAATATCCTGTCTTCCAGGATAGCTGCATTCTGAGCGTTTCGTAGATGCCAAGTAGGGTATGGCCTGATTGTTCGCAATGTTCGCATCGAGCATTGACGGAGACCTTGTAGAAAGGGGCATCCTATGAGGGGTGGTTGCGATCAGAGAGATGAGGGTACCAAGTAGTAGGCACCGGGTTTAAGCTTAGTAAGAGTATACTAGGGTATCTTAACGTAATCAACCACCGAACCGCTCCAAAGTGCTAATACCGAAGAGTGCCTCCTGGGCAAGTGCAAGCACAAGAAGAAAAAACCCCGACGCAAACTGAGGACGATCATGGTTTCTGATTCCGATGCCGAATGTTTAGGTCTGTTAGTGAAGTCATGAGCTAATGTTATGATCTTGCGCAATGACGAAATAGAAATCCGTACACTGTATACTTAGGGTTTCGGTTGTTCTTTAACCATCTCTGGTTACTGCATAATTCATCAATATCAATCCATTATGCTATATAAATATACAATTAAGCAACAAAACAATATACTAATCATTAATCCCTTATCTTATCTCCCGAACGCAATCCTCTGCCATATACCTTCTACATCCCGACAAAGCTCGAGGAACCCATCGTCTTCGAGCTGATTGCAGATCCACGTTTCTAAACTAGCCATACGCTCTTCGGTGGGGTTGGATATATATGAAGAAAGATCTGCTGTCGTTAGAGCATCCAGAATCTTTGCTTGTTGCGCCTCTCCTTGCTTCCCTGTCGATAGTTTGCTCGCTTCGGTTCTCTCGGCTTGTAGATTGCTAGTGATAGATGGGCAAGATGGAACAACTGGCGGATTGGCTTCTTTTAGCCAAGGAGGTTGATTATGTGGTCCCGTGTGAGCTGATATGTTTGGTTCTGACTCTGGATGAGGCTTTTGTCTGTCGTTTCTGGCGTTGGGTAATTTTGGTGGGAGTAGTCGTAGGCGAGGCATGGTAATCCTTTCGCCTGATGTGGCTGGTCGTGTTTGCGTTTGCATTTGCATTTGGTTTGAATGGGCAATTTGGGATGGTTTGGTGGGTACTTGAGAATTTTTGGTTGTATCTGTTGCTTCCATGAAGGGTTAGTGCACGTGTAGATGTGACAGAGTTTATATCTAGCATCCGTACCAATGTTCGATGAGGTACCACTGGTGACTGTCGCGTATGGGACAGCGGGTGGTGTTTTTGTCACGGCATTGGCACTCTTGGAAGTATTTGACCATGGAAGAACCCTCCGTGGTGGTATGTTTATCTCTGGTTTGAGAAGACGTTCAGCAGCTGACGAGGTGAAGGGCCTTGATGTGATTATGTCGGAGCTTGTCACGTCCTTCTGGCCGACTGCTGGGGTGTACTGGAATGGTGTATGTGCTGTTGCGAGGGAAACTTGGTCTTTGCTCCCATTAGCACGGGTTGTATCACTTGTTTGAGCAGTACTCCATGATGTAGATGGTAATGAATTGCCTGCTGGGGTCAGATAGATAGTACTGTGCCAATGGCTACGGAAAACCCACAAGTTGTAACGCTAGATGACGAACCTGATGCACCGGTGGTCGATGAGCGTTGGAGACTAGAAGCACCTACAGGCTCGGATGGACCTGGCATACTACTCAAGCTATATGGAGGTTCTCTGCTCATAGATGTCACTTCGATTGAGCCCGAGTTCCATTGTGACGAGGTCAATTTGCGCATATTTCCGACGCTCGGCTCTGAGACTGGACACCCTAATTCTCTAAGAATAGACAAAGCGGTGTAGTAGTCGGAATCAAAGGTGAACTTGATTTGAAATCGGCGGACCTATGATGGTGTTGGTTACGAGTCGAAACAGGTAGCCTCATTTCGTACCGTATTTCCCCGTGGATATTTCACTGCAAGGCACGGGGGCTTCACGACCACTGCGAATATTGGCTTGGATACTGCGTGTTGACTCGACTGGGTTATACTTTCCGCTTCGATAATGAAGTGAGTGAGGTCAATCTCTTCCTGAAAACCACTTCAATTAGCATCTGGCTTTCCTCTGCTCCTATCCCCAAGATGAGTATTACCAAGCTTTCAAGGACACGGAGGACCTTCAGTAGTACTCTGTCTGGGGTGAAGCTTGTCATCGTGCGCCTCTCAAATATAGCGGCCATATCTCCGTTGCCCATAATATGACTCCAGTTGAGCGGGCCTCTGTGGGTAAGCGATGTAGTTGTATGGGAGAACTTGGCTAATGACAGACGAGTGAGAACGGTTGAATCGGGAGGATGTTGGGCCAGGCTTTGCATCATGCAGATTGAGATGTGGATATGGAGGAACAACTTATGTTAATGTTAATGCAATATATAAAGACTATTATAATAGTCAGACTATGGTGAGTGATATGAAGGAGCTGATGAGGGGCACTAGGAGACAAGGAAATGACATGGTGCTTGGAAGTATAGAGCAGGTGACTGGAGGCTAAGCCTAGTATTGCCAACACGGATAATACATATTTTTACAGTCAACCATAGTATCAGATACCAGACAATAGAGAGATATAAAATCTGAAATAGAATAGACAGCAAATAGTAGTGTGTCGGGTCTCGAATGCGCTGCTTTGGCAGAGAGGATTAAATTTTCTCATCTAGAAGCTACTAAGCTTCGGTTAATGGGCTCATCAGTAGTCAAATGCACGCGGTACAAAATACCAAGATCAGTGGAATGCTTGTTGCTCCTGCATCTCCTACACTGGAGGTCGGAATAAGGAAGAGGAAGTGAGATAGACCAATGCAAGCCATGATGATCGACGAACCCTGATCTACCGGTATAGTGGGTGCCTGATATATGTGGTGGTCATTCAGGCACCCCCTGTGGTGAGGATTACTCATCAGGCCAGACCAGACAAACCAAGCAAACATGACCGGAAACGAACATTCCGGAACAACCAAGACTCCGGCCACGCGCCTGAGGCCAGAAGGAGCAGCAGCGCGGACTTTTGCCCTGCGGATGAACGACGGACGGATCGATCGCAGGATCAGCTTGTCTTCATATTTACGCTGCGCCCTCTCTCCCCCGACCTTTGACAAAGGAATTGGCGCCTGTCCTCGAGTTATATCTGTCGCTGCTACTCTTCGATAACCCTCGCAGCGGCTCTTTTGATAAATTTCCAGAGCGCTTCTCACGCGAACGTCTGTTGTTGTCCCGTTGTCGCATCCTCTCTGGTTTCGAATAGGCAGTTCTCCGATAGCTTCATATCGCGACCCAGCTCTCAGCCCGTCACCGGAAAACATCCCTCGAACCTAGTAGGCGAACAAACTCTCCGGAACACGACGAACTATCGATTCCACGTCAACATACTCCGATCATCTGAGAAAGGGAATTCGGAACGATATTCCAGAAGAACAGGAAGAACGGCTTTCGAGAAACGGAGCATTTTCGACTCCAACTTCTTTTTGGCGCGTTTAATAGCGAGGTCTCGCGCTTTTTTTGCGGAAGGCCCCCTTGATCAGTAGACTGGGTCCGTTGGGTCAACCTTGGTCTTTCTCAGAGGTATTCCAGGGCGCCCTAGGAGAACCGGTTATCCCCTTCGAAGTCGCGGAGCGATACTCTCAATCGGTTTTTGGCGTGCTCGAGTCAAAGCAACATGTCTTCCCAAACCCCCCGCACGTCCCTCCGAGGTAAGTGCTACCACTCTCAATTTGCCAGTGTCACTTCCGTTTTTGTTGAACAACCAGTGCTAACCGTCCGTAGAGGGCTTGCGGCAGGCTCCCAAGGCCAATCAACCATTCATTCCCGATACTGCTCCGGTTCGGCGCTCACATCACAACTCAAATCAATCACCTCAGCCAAGCTCGATGTCACAAACGCATTCGAATTCCCCCGCGCCCAACTCAAACAATTCACATTTACCCACGGAGGGCTGGGACGGCAAAGAACAGAAAGTACCTATGAACACACGCGAAGTAGCAACGCCAGGCAACAGGCCGGGCCTCTTTCTCACCGTGCCGGGCAAGGTGGCTAAACAACCTGATTTCTATGACCCTTACTTTCCCCTCAGATACCTCGAGGTCCCCAAGTGTGCGTAGGCCTTTACAGCAACCCATGATTATGACAATAATACCACTGACACGCTATAGCGGACCATATCTATAAGCGCGCCCACTACGGCCTGCAATCTGGTATATCAGACGAAGTCGATTTCGCTCTGTACCATCTTGTTCAAATTTCCAACCAGCGCTGGGACAAATTCAAGTTCGAGGGGTTCCCTTTGCTGGCCGAAACTCTCATGGAGAAAGCCATTGATGTCTCCATAATATGCACGGGCGTAAAATGGGAACTCCAGTATGAATACCGCTATCCTATGGAGCGCGTTAATGTCCTCAACTCTCTACACGGAACGCGCGATTTGCTCGAGAGGATCAAGAGAATTCCCGTCACTCTGCCTAATGATACTCTCGAAACGTACGAATTCAACCACCGTCTACGGAATGTGAAAGAAGCTACCCTGGTTCTCCGGAATATGGTTCTACTCCCCGATAACGCTTTTTATGTCTCACGTTATGCGAAGGGACTTTTGAGGGACTTCTTGGTCATCCTGCTCAACCTTCCCAACCAGCCTCGCCTCAATGAAATCAAGAACGATGCGTTAGACATCGCGGAAGAGGTCACCAAGTTCTTGAGGACCGACCCAGAAGATCCGCTCTGGATCTCCCTCCTTCAATGCCTCGAGTCCCCAGATCGTGCCCACGTCGTTCGGGCGCTCTGGGCGCTCACCCATTTCTCCACTGAAATTAACGATTCTGAGGGTAACCAAGCACTGGAACGCATGCCAAAACAAGCTCTGCAACAAATGTACTTCCATACTCTTCTGGACTTAGACAAGGACATCCTAAGCGGAGCGCTGGACTTTTGGTACCAGTACACGCTTTCGCGTGAGAACATCGAGACCATGCTTGACATCTTCGACTTCCCAAGCGTGTTCGTTCCGCGAATGATCGCCCTACTAACACACGAGGCGCGTCCTAGCAAGAAAGAGACAGTTCTCCAGGAAGAGAAAGTCGCACCGCCGCCATCCGAGATCCCTCGTGTGCCGGCAGAGCTACTGAAAGATCTAATGGAGCTACAAGAGCCAGAGCGTAGCTCACGCTGGTTGCGCTGTTGCTTCGTTGAGGATGCAGAGTGCGAAATCACCCAAATAGCCCTGTGGCAGGCATACCAGAGTCGATTCGCAGACCCCCGGGTACCGGGCGGTGGTGTCCTCCCGGCCGCCGAGTTCATCAAGAACGTCAGCACGACATTCACAAATGCGCAAGCGCAGGTCATCAACGGGCCTGGCGCGGCGACTCGCTTCATCATCAAGGGCATCCGTCCGCTAGAAACAGCCTACACCTTCCAGGGATTCCCCTACCAATACTGCAAATGGGCAGATAACTCGAAGCCCTCCAAAACCTGCCAGCGCGCTTTCACCACCCCCACCGACCTCCGCAACCATGTTTTCGCCGACCACATGGAGCTCAAGCCCACGGACACACCGGGCCACTACAACCTGGACAATGCCGAATCCCCGGTCCACACGTGCCTCTGGGACAACTGCACCCGGTTCCGCTCATCCGGCCCCAGCAACAACACCGCCATGGTAGCCGGCCATGTAGCATCACACCTGCCCGAAGAGCGCCCTGCCGATGCAGAGCCCCCAGTCTCCAAGCGCGCTGTACTTCAAGAGCGGATCGTCCGCAAATGGTTTTACATGGATACGCCAGTCAATGAGAGAGGCGAACCCTTCGGTGTAGCCTACAAGGCGGCGTTGGTCCTGCGCAACATCGCCAGGAACTTACCGACCGGCATGGCTCAGAAATACAATGGGCTCTCGTGGAAGAAAGCCGTATTCCTCAGTCACCGGCCGAAGATCGTGGAAACGTGGGACCGTAATCGGTCGCTGCGTAAGGAACTCACTGAGTTGATTATGATAATAGAGAAAGAGGATTACTATTGAAAATGAATACGTGACATGGGGCAGCGAGCAGCGAGCCTCGAGCAACGAACGAACTTTCATGTTATCATCATCATTATCGTCATCATCTGGCTAACTATTGCATTTGCTGAGTTTCATTCCATTTTTACTTTGATATATTGTTGTACAAATACCCTGGAATTTTTCCTTTTTTTTTTTCTTTCTTCCTTTCTTCGTTCGGTGGTGTGGTGAACTCATTTTCATTTCCAAAATTTCTTCCCTTTTCCCCCGTCAAGGGTTACACTAAGTTCCAATAAATCCTCCCTTTCCCACTCCTGTTCATTATGTATGGTAGTAGCCAGGGCATGACGTTTTGGAGAGAGAGAGGAGTTTGATATGATCTTTATCTTATTATTTTTTTTATCGTAACGGTGGTGAGAGGGGAGCTTTGATCGGCAATCTGACATAAATTAGGCGTCTGGAACGGGGTGGCGGAGGATTCATTGATTGATCGGTGAAGGTGGAACTGGTGATGGGGCTGTTGTGTTATCCCGGGATTTTCTTTCTTTTTCTTCTTTGAGCTTCATTCACAATATTCTTGTTTCGCTCGCGCAGTCTTTGCTGCTGCATGTTTAGGTTCGACGAGTGTATGTATGATAGGCGGAGTAGTAGGTTAGGTAGGCTACCAGGTTAGGTAATGGGGTGGTGGGATAAGTTAGTTGTTTCCCACAATATCCTTCTTAGACCAAATGTCTGTACCGTTTGCACGGTTCGGGGTCCATTCCATCATCATTTGTTCCGATTCGTACTCCCTTCGGCATAGAGCATTAGAATGTATGATAGATAGGCGATTGTGATCACCGCATAATCTCTGGATCATCAACATTGACGTAAACATCCGCCACAAAGTTCTCGTAATTCGCCCATGCCATCTGCATACTCCCCAGTCCCGGTCCCGCGTAGCTGAAATCAACCGCGTCCCAGACATTCGGCCACGCAGACGCAGCGACTGCCGCCGCTGCTGCTGCGCCGTCAAGACCACTGTGACTCTCGGGTGTATGCATGAAGCTTTGCGCGTCTATTTGCATAGCCATGGACTGTTGCTGCTCTTGCTCCTGCTGTTGTTGTTGTTGCTGGATAGATAGATCCAGCGGAGAGAACTGCTCGGAGCTGATAGCTGAATCGGGATTAATGTGGGATGAAGATGGACCAGAGCCAGAGCCGGCTGGAGTAGAAGAAGACGTAGAAAGTAATTGCGTCCGTCTTTCCTTTGCCCTATCCATTAACTTAACCATAGGTTTCCATAGCATCCCGCGTTGCGAATCGGCGATTACTCGTCCCAGCTGATTGAAGGTATATTCGACTGGTTCCCAGAAGCGTTCCATGACGGCTTTGTCGTCGCAGACGCAGAGTTCTGCCAAAGCAACGGCGAGACTATGCCAGGGCGGGAAGGCAAATTCTATCCATTTGTAGGTGGCGAAGCGGGGGTCAGAGCGGAGACGATACGAGGCGGTGAGCACGTTGACTGCGAATTCGAGGAGACGGTCACCACGGACGAGAGGCGGAGTGAAGTTTGGGGCGCGTTGGAGGGGCCGTAGGGTGATGAGTTGCATGGAGGCGTGGGTGCATTCTGCTACGGCTGCTGTGAGCCAGTGGAGGGGGTTGGTTGCCGGGGAGGCGTGAGCGAGGAGTTTCGAGACTGATTGCTGGAATTCGAGGACGAGTTGCTGGCGGATGGCGAGCGTGTTGATGGAGGGTTCCATGAAGTCGGAGAAGTTGAGGGATCGGGTTACGTATTGTGCTTTGCGGGTAACCATTGTGAAGGTCATATCTGTAAAGCCTGGGGAGTCGGGTGGATTTGAGGTCATGGCTGGGCTTATGTCGATATCGTTCACGTTTGCTGGCGGGTGAGATTCCAGCCAGGCGGCTTGCATCATCGGTTCGGAAGCGCGGTCCATGGATGCTTGGATGTCCAGAAAGCCAATGGCGAGCCAGACGCGGCGCCGGAGTTCTCGCTCGAAGGGGGTTACGTGGAATGGGGGCTCGGGGATGTGGAGGGAAAGAGCTTGCGCGATACGCAAGGCCATGCTGAGCATAGTCCACATGCGGCGGCTTTGGTCTTGGGAACGGAGGGCGAGCTATAATGGAAGGTTTAGTGAGTGTGAACTGGACAGGATTGGGGGACGTACGAGGAAGAGGACGTAGGCTTGTAGGACGGTGAGGTCATTGGTGGTGATAAAGTCAGCGCGGGCGAGGGCTGCTTCGGCTTCTTTTTGGTACTTTGCTACCATGGATGACTTGGGGATGCCGAAGCAGCGCATGCTCTCTTCGTCGTGAAGACTACATGAGGCGGCGAAATATACAGAGTAGGCGAGGGCAGTTGGGGCCAGATGCCCTGGCTCGTAGTCCAAATAGGGCTTTCCATCCACGAGGAACTCCTTCACCGAGGGCCTGTGAAGAATCTTACAGAGCAGGTCCACCCTCTGCATGAATATACAGCATAGCTGCTGATGGGCAGGTGAGGGGGCTGGAGAATTGCTTTTTGTGGAGTCACTGCCGCTTGCCATGGAGAAAAGTCGGCGGTAGTTGATTAGGTTGCTGTTCTCAGCATTACGGTGGTCTTCCTTGGAACCACCCTGCTCACTGGGATGTACATCCGGCACCTGTCCAGGAGTTAGCCAAGTAACCAGATATTTGGATATGTGTAGAAAATTCTAGTAATTGACTCACCTCATTCAAGAGACTGGCCCAAAACGAAGACCCCAAGTACGTATCCGGAGTCCGGACACTACCAGGCTGCGAGTCATCGTCATCGCCATGCTCCCCATCCGACGACCCAGCTTGTGAGCCTTCATCGACGGCAGCAGCTAGAATAGCGCGAGCGGAGGCCTGATTGCCCCCGCGAGCCAGTTCACGGATGATGGTTTCCAGCTTCGCCACACGGTCCTTCAGGTTCGCATCCTGGTCACCTGGTCGCTCCGTTGCTGGTCTGCCGGATCTGCCCCGCGGAAGACGTGCCCGTTCAACGGGGACGCATCTCGTTCCGAGACGCTGACAGTTCGTGCATGGGTTCAGCTTGTCGCATTTGACTTTGCGCTGCCGACAAGTCTCACAGCTCAGACGCACTTTGGGCTTGTTGGTGGAGTGTGCGGACGGAGCGTTGCCTGCTTCGTCTGCTGTCTGTTCGGGATGATTCATTATCATAAGGGCCAATTTTGTGCTAGTGGCCGGTCAAACGGGAAATCATGGACTGCTAGTTGAAATTTACAAGGGCTGAACATGGCTCATATCGGCCAGCTTGGATGAAGAGACTGATCAATGGAGGAAGTAGACATTACGGAGAGTGACACGAGATAAGCCGAAGAGCAAAAGGAAGAAGGTAGGATGGATGATTATTATTGGACCCATTCCATGGATGGATCGCCCGTGGCGGCCTCAGGACCCACACTTTCTGCCCTGCACTTCATTAACATCTACAAACACGCTTGTCCTTGTCCCCGGGGACCCGGGGGTGTATAATACGGCAAAGATGGTAGTAGAATAACGTGATACTGAAATTAAGAGGAGCGAGCACTTCGAAATTGACAGAGTAACTCAAACGCTACCGGTGCCAGCATCGACTGAGCGCCCGCATATCTGCATATCTACAGCTTGTCAACCCAACTACAGCCATCCAACCCCAAGTCTAAACCCCTGTCGTCCATATGCAAGGATGCATTGGGAATACATGACACGTATGGCATGACTACATTAAGCTATGGACCCATAACCCCACCCATTTTACAATCCGAACCCAATGTCCATCCCTAGGCATGCGTGAGAAAGGAAAGCAGAAGAGAAGCACGGCATCAAAGCAGAGGGAGAAACAAGCAAGAAGGAAGCGGTTACAACGAATGAGATCGGAATAGAAATGAAATGACATTGGAAACCTGCCGCTCAAGTCTAAGAGATAGACAATAAACACCAAATATGTGCAAAAAGGCAAAAGCGAGATGGCGCACAGCCTTTACTCCCAAACATTAGAAAATAGATCGTCCGCTCCGCCAAACCCGCCCGCCGGCTTGGAAGGAGCATTCGTGGTAGTAGTCGTAGTGGTGGTTGACGAGATGGGTGCCGCGCTGGTCCATCCGCCAAAGTCCTCATCGGCAGCAACGGTTGGGGCCGGCTTGGAACTAGCCGACAAAGCCGGAGCGCCCCAACCCGCACCAATGTCATTGGCAGTCAGGGTATCCGGCACCTTCATCATCGAAGCCGAAGCGGCAGGTGCTGCAGGTGCTGCGGGCGCAGGGTCTGGAGTGTTCCAAGCGTTACCTCCCCAAGGATCAATGGTAGTTGGAGGAAGAACGCTAGCAACGGACGCGGTGCTAGCCACTGATGGCCTAGGAGCCGGGGCCGGAGCGGGAGCTGGGGTAAGGTTAAAGGCAGACTTCAAATCCTGCTGCGGAGAGGTAGATGTAAACGCCGGAGGCGACACAGCAGCCGGGGCGGCCGGGGCCGGCGAAGAAAGCCCGAACAAGTCGTCAGACAAAGGCGACTTAGGGGGGTTAGGCTTCGGCGGCGGAGGAGACGCAAAGCTGGTAAATCCTGCGTCAAAACCGTTCGACGAGATTGATGCGGTCCGGGACTGCGGCTTTGGCGGGGGGACAGTGGGAGACGTGAGGCTATCAAAGAGACTACCACCCGCACTACCAACTGAGGCAGTGGGCGAAGACACCTTGGGAGCTGCTGGAGTAGACTTCATGCTGGCAAAGTTCGTCAAATTGGCGAAAGGTGAGGGTTTCTCAGCTGGTTTAGGAGCCGGAGGGGAAGTGGACGAGGGAATGCTCAGTCCGCTGAAAGCATCGGTCAGGCCACCCATGTTGGAGGCCGATGAACCCGGGGCGGGTGATGCCAGATCGCCAAATGAAGATGTACGCTCGTGCTGCGTCGTAGCAGGCGGAGGCTTCGAGTATAGCGAGAGAATCGACTGCTTCAAGTCGGGCCTAGACATCCCGGTCGAACCGGTAGGAGTCGACGCCGTGCTAGCTGGGCGGCTGGTAGGGGCGGGCTGAGCGCTTCCGAAGAAGTCCAAGCCTAGTAGCGAGTCCCCGGGACGAGCCGCTGGCTTGGGAGCAGGCGCAGACTGTGGTTGCTTAGGAGGTGCCCTGGGGGTGGGCTCTGTCGTGCTCGGACGCGCCGGTGGGGCGATAGGGTCGTCGGCGAATAGATCGATGGACTGTTGCTGGCGATGGACTGCGGGTTGACTGGACGCAGCCACACGCTGAGAAGCGGAGCGTTCAATCTTCGCTTTTTCCTGAACCACTGCAAGAGGCTTTGACGACATGTGTTAGTCTCATCATATAAGGTTACACAACTTCGGACAACTTACCACATCGTCGTCGCCAATATCCAGGGTTTTGGGATCGGGCATTGGGCCGTCCATGACCCATCGCTTAGACTCGTACTTTGTCCGGATGAAATTCTCAATTTTCCTGTCCACGCCATTCACTTAGCCACGATGCCATCAAGTTGACCAGTATGCCGGGGAGATATCCACTTACGCTTCCGAGGGGACGTGGCCGGGTGCCAATTTCGCTTCCCAATATCTGCCATAGACAATGAGCTTAATAGTCCCAGAACACCGAATGTGTAATGGAAGACACTAACTTGTTGGCCCTAGCATTTCCCCATCTCACAACACTCTGAAGTTGTTCGTCCGTCCATGAGTCAAGGTCGACCGACTTCACCCGACTGATATGGGTGCCCATGCCGCGATGAATGCCCGAGCAACGGATACAGATGAAGATTCCCAGGTTCCATGATGCCCATCGAGGATCTAAATGAAACAATATTAGCATGCGATCGCATTATGCACCGGACATTCGCATTGAATGATATATGTGACGGCAAAACACAACAGGCGTAAGTTGGGCGTTATCCGCGGGGGGTCACTAACGCTTATTGCGCTTGCAATCGGCACATATCTTGTTTTGTTCGAGTTTCAGCAGACTCTTGATGATCTGCTGGTTCTGAGCAGCCTGGGACGGCGTGGCACGTCGAGACATCACAGCTAGGGACGCAGTCCGAGTCGAATTACCGGGAATGTAACCGGAGAGTAGAGAAAGGAGAGACAATAATTAAGGGGAGTTGAAACGGGGAGAGAGACGTCAAGGGCCACCAAGTGGCGGGTTGCGGTGTCTTGTTGGCCTCAGGCATTACACTTGGGTAGGCGGTGGGTTGACCTCCGACCGGCGAGCGGCACGTGCCAGCGATGCAGTTTGATTTAGATTGATTGCCTTTGATTTCTTGTATGAGAGTTACCAGCGTCGCACACAAACAGCGACGATCGTCATATTCATATGCATCTTCGTCTCATCTCTTCATCTCTTCATCATACAACTACAGTATTCTACACCGAAAATTCCCTATTAACCTTCCACCCAACCCCTTTTCACTTCCCCTGGCCTTCATCCTCCTTAAACCGCAAACTAACACTATTCACACAATGTCTCTCATCAGTCGGAGTCGGATATCCCTCTCCCTTAAATACATGTCCTAAATGTCCCCCACAGTTGCTACACACAATCTCCGTGCGCTCCATTCCAAATGACCGATCCGTATGTCTTGTAACCGCTCCGGGGATGGAGTCAAAGTACGCAGGCCACCCACATCCCGACTTGAACTTATGTGTTGCCTTGTACAACGGCGCATCGCATCCCGCGCAGTTATAGACTCCCTGGGAAGGGTAGTGAGCATCGTATTCGCCCGTGAAGGGTCGCTCTGTGCCCTTTTGGCGGAGAATTTTGAATTGCTCTTTGGTCGACTTGCATTAGTTTCCTTCATACCAGGATGGAGCTAGCACCGTGGGAACAGATGAGGGGTAGATAGGTAGAGAATGAGGGTAAAGCTATACATACCAGGACTTAGCACAGCTTGCCAAGCATCGTCACTGCGCTGGTCGGGATAGGACATGTTGTTGGACTGGGAGTCGGTTTTCGCGCTAGAGCCGAATAATGCGCCGAGGAAGGGGATAGTAGGACCGGCTTTGAGGACAGTCGCGCTGGGGATGGGGAGAGGAGGTCGCTGGAGGGCACGGGCGGAGTGCGATCGGAGGGGTAGTGCGAAGATGCGGAGGGCGGGGATCAGGCCCTGGAAGCGCATCTGGTTTTAATCAATAAGGTATGATTAGATGGAAGATAGACGATAGGTAAGACAGTTAGTCACTGACGAGGAGAAGGTCGCAAGGAAGAAAATTGAAGAGTAGTTAGTTAATCGCTTTCATTGATGGTCGCCGCTGAAGCTCCGATTTGCTTGGGCTTTTTACGTCATCCGGACGGAAACACCAAAACTTCCCTCTTCTCTTAATCTTGCTATTTCCCCCCATATTGATATTGCCTACGAATTAAGAAACATCAAAAGCTAGTTCAGTCTTCATCAGATCATCATGAGAATGCCTGTCTCCAAGCTCTGTACGCATGTATGTACAACAAATGTCTAGCAAAACTAGCAAAAGCGCGCCTTCCAGATCCGCTGTCTACATGAACGCCTCCGGGTATCTCGTATGCATCAGCCGCTAAATGGGGACATAAAAGGGTAAACAAATCCATCATGCCATGCATCAGCGACGTTGGACAACTCCAACGACGGTCAAAACTCCGGCGCCAATCTCCACCCTCCAGCCTTCCCGGGCCAGCATCTTCGCAACAGCCGGGCCCAGGCGGGAAGTGCCATCATGACTATGCCGTCCAAGTCCAGTGACAATGCGGTAGCCACCCTGAACAGGATTGCTGGCTCCACTGCCACGCATGTATTTTGCATCGCCCAGGGAGTCCCACCACTCGGATACCCGCTCGCTAGAGATCCGCACCGCATCCTGCACAGATACACCATGCAGATCGAGCGAGTTCCATGTAGACTGTGAGTCGACCAGAGCATCGGCAGCAGCAGCAGCATTGCGTTTGGCGCGTTCCAAGTGATCTCGTCCTACAGCGGAATAGTAGGCAGCCGCACCTCCCATCAACCGATCTGATTTACCGCGCCGGTATGCGACCGATGCCTTCGACAATGCTTCAGCACCAGCTGCAAAGTGCACGCCTGCTGCACTTCTCGCTCGGTTGAGGTCCCGGGTCACCGGTGCAGCGCCTCGTTTCGGAGTCTCCTCGTCAACGTCCACTGGTGGGGGTGCTGTAGTGATCTTGATTATCTCAGTCAAGGACGGAGCCACCGGGCTTGTCAGCATAGCCGCTGCGAGTTCACTGGCGGCTGATATAGAACTCCTCGTGATCTTAAGCAAACCGGCGAATGTGAGCGGTGGCACCGATGGGAATTCTTGCGTAAGCTCGGCCACTTGCGTGACCGTGACTGGATCCTCATCGATCTGCTTTTTGGGAGCATGTGTATCGGCAAGAGCCCTGATTGTAGCAGGAAGTGAGGCTCCATTAGCATGATAAGTTGAGCGGACGGTCTCCTTCTTCAGGATCGCCGAGGTTCGCGCATGAATGAACTCAACGTCCTTTCCAGCAGCATCCCACTTGTTCGTTGTATTCTCGAAGCTAGCCTCGGAGCTCGCAGACGATAAGACATCCTGTCTCCGGGCATTCTTATTCTTGGGTTTGCGCTTACGAGCTTGTTTCTTGCCTGCTCCGGGGTCATCAAAGCCGTCCACGCCCTTGGGAACAGTGACCACCCCATCCTCGTCAGGTACTTGCTCATCAAAGAACGATAGGTTGAGTAGGACGTCCATCGAGCGATCAATGCTCCCATTAGACTTCTTCAACGTATGCTGGATAGTGAACCGGTCAACTGACGGGAACATCTCAGTCAAATAGCCAATCTTATCATCTTCATTCGCTCCAGACAGATGGAGAGACCCATCCGGTCCAATAGTATACGAGACATGGTCCCTAATACCGACCGAAGAGAACCCCGACGTGAGGCTAGTGATATCTGTCTCCCGCGACCGGTCTCCCTGGGACTCACTAAGCTCTGACGACCCATCTGCTTCTGGACCATGTCCTGCACCTAAACCGGATGTGCCGGAAGGGTCGAAGGGCAGATCCTCCTGTTCCCAAGCAGACAGCCGAAGCGCATCCAGAGTCTCGCGAAGTTGGCCAAGTTGGGCCGAGTCCGTCAGGTCATAGTCGAACGCGATGGCTGTGAGTAGGGCTGGGTCCAGAGGAGGGCAGTACGTCTTTTCCAGATCCTACGACGCGATTCGTTCTCAGCATCAGCTGTTTACACCCCGTTTGTGCACTTGCGGTTTGTATTGGTGCAAGGCGCGCACAATTTTAGGCAGACTAACCTGGAGCGGACCGTCATCCTTGTCACCCATGTTCGAAATCAATGACGTGCCACAAGTATTCGGTGTTGAGTCTTTTGAGCATGCCTTATTTAACGCAGGTTTAGATTGGCTGGTGCTTGTTTGCGACACAAGACTGCTGCTCCCTGACGCACTTTGTTGGGGAGGAATTCGCGATAACTTGCGCCTGAAGGTGGGGGTGGATGACATAATCATTTCGAATGACTTGTGATCGATTGCACGGATGAAACTATGAGAATCACGAAATCGAGATGTAGAAAATATCTAGTATCTCGACATGTTTATTATGTTTGATATCTTTGCATATTACAATAACTGGTATGATATGAGGTCTCACATGTCGTAACTAAATACAAGTGTTTTGCAACTTCTGACTCACAATACTCACATCAGACATCAAATGATCATCCTTCCATCAAGCTAGCCATTTGTACTTCGTGACATCAGTATCGCTATCTGCTAATTAGTATAGATATAACATGCAAATTCTCAATCCCATACTAGACGACTGCAAAATACTGACCCAAGTATCGAATTTTCAATGGCGTAAGTCCAGATGTTAGACAATAGAAGGTGCTGCCCTAAAATTATTCGACCTTTGTACCCTATCATCACTCACAGCAAGCACGTCAAGACTTCAAGACTTTGAGTAACACAGTGTTACTAGTTTCCCGATAAGTTGTAAGCTCAAGTCTTTCCGAGCAAGATGACTTCTAACAACTGAACACCGCATTGAAAAAGAAGGAGAAAGGAATCCAATCACCAAGATAATTCCCATTCATCTCTCTCTGCTTCTCAATGTCTGGATCTTTAAGACTCCACCATCACAAGTTGACTAGTACTCTACACATAAATTCAAGACCTCGCTCTACCTACCAAGCCAGGACAGCTAGTCTAGAATAAAAATCAGTGATAATCGATACCGAAACCCAAAGAACTGTCTTAATTTCCCAAAGTACCCTGACACCAAATAGGAAAAACCACCAAGTCGCTATGTTCCCACCACCAAACCGACCTATGTCAAAAACCCTACTTTAACCCCCCACAATCCCGCACATAACCAACCCAAAAAAAGAAATAGTAGGATAGAAAAAAGATAGAGTGGATCGGCTATCCTCGGCCCCAGAATCATTTCAATCACTCATTCAATGGTTCCACCCCAGAAAATCTGGGTCATTTATTGTGTGGTGGGTGGTCTCCACTTGGACGGCAATTGATCGATGTTTGGGGATGGACCCGTGGGGAAAACTTAACGTCGATGCAATGTGGGTGCGGTTAAGTAGGTGAGTTATTTATTTAGTTGTGTTGTGCAAATACTATGACATACTAACTTTTGCTCTGATGGTTCCTGAGACACATTTACGTAAATTAGGGTCGTCTGTCTTCGTTTGGGTTACTCTGTCTAGTAATGATGGAGCTGTGAAGGCATGTGATATATACGACCGAGGAAAGCGGCAGCTTCTCGGATATTAATGGGTTTCTATTTGGTATGTCCGTCTTCTAGAGAGAATATGGTATAGTTCTATATCTTCATAACACGTGCAGCTGGTATATCTACCAGTTCTGCTTACTTGTACTTGGCCATGAACTCCGAGTGGAACTTGACGATCCGCTCAACCCAGTCGGTTCCAGGAGCCAAGAAAGTAGTACGGAAGTGCAGGGTGTTCTCCTTCTGGCCGAAACCAGAGCCGGGGACGACGCAGACACCAGTGGCGTCAAGGAGACGGAGGCAGTAGAACTCGTCGGCGGCACGGTTCTCGGCCTTGGCGGCCTCGACGGCCTTGGGAGGAAGGGTGATAGTGGGGAAGAGGTACATGGCGCCCTAATTCATTAGTTAGTGGACCGTTCGTACGATGCTCTACTCTCACTGGAAGTACATACCTGAGGCTCCTGGCATTCAACACCCTCCATGCGCTGGAAGGCTTCGTACAGGGCAAAGGCGCGCTTGCGCAGACCGTCCCGAATGCCATTGTACTCCTTCTCGTACACAGCGCGGCTGGGCTCACCCTCCTTGGGAGGGTTCACCATCAGCTCGACCAGGCACTGTCCGATAACCGGCGGGCAGAGCATGATGCTGACGTACTTGTAGACCTGGGCCGCAACCTCGGGGTCGAATCCGACCAACTCAAAGTAGCCACCACGGTGACCACACTCACCAACCATACCCTTGGAGACACTGTGCAGGGAGGCCAGCTCCACGTTGTCGTACTTGCCGGGCACTTCTTGCTGCAGCTGACGGAGTCTCTTCTTGAAGGAGATGAACTCGCCGGTGAAGACGTTAGTCTGGTAGACTTCGTCCGCAATGACCACCAGCTTCTCCTCCGCGGCCAGGTCGAGCACACCCTTGATGTCCTCAGCACTGAGGGAAGCACCGGTCGGGTTGCCGGGGTTGATCACAACAATGGCACGCACATCGGTGCCAGCAGCCTTGGCCTGCGCAAGGTTCTCACGGATAGCATTCACATCGGTACCCCAGGCCCTGTGCTCCTCCAGGTGGTAAGGAACGCACTGGGCGTTCAGAAGAGACAATGTAGCGGTGTAGAGAGGGTATTGAGGGATGGGCACAAGGACACCAGCACTGGGGCCATCGCAGATGACGTTCAGAAGGGTGCTGACACCGGAGGAGGCACCACCGGTCAGGTACAGATCCTGGGGGTTAGCGGGGAATCCATCACGCTCCTCGATGAACTTGGCGACGCTGTCACGGATGATAGGGGCACCCTGGCTGTGACTGTAGGCACCGACGCTCTGGACATCGGCGAGAAGGGTCTTGGCCCGGTCGATGACATCCTGCTGGTAGCCGAACGACGTACGGAGAGCCTCGGGGTTCTCCAGCAAGGAGGGGTTCTCGAGAAGACTGAGGACCTGACGGAAGAAGCTGATGGGCTTCTGGTCCAGTTGCTGAGGGTTGCCAATGTTGGCGAAGATGACACTGTCGAAAGGCAACGACTTGTCTCCCTGAGCCAACTTCACACGGTATTCCTCGGCCTTGACGGCCAGCTCACCACGGACGGCATATTTGGCGGCCTTGACGTGGGGGTTGATGTTGTCCAAGTTGAGACGACCGCCGGAGGAGGCGGTCAGGGTGCGCTTAGCAGTGAGGGTGACGGTCATAGTGGACTCTGTGGTGGTCGTAGGGTATGATTAGCTAACTGACCCTTTGTAGGACGAGAACAGAGGAGAGGGTCTCTGCTCAGATGGCGGAGTAGGTTCCATTTGTATGGGAAGTATACGGGGGACCGGATGTCACAAGATCGGGGCTAGCTGGAAGAGGCCGTCTGACAATCGGAACATGGGGGAGGGGGGGGACACATCCAATGACCAGCAGCAGCACGGGAGGGGGTGAAGTAAAAAGAAACAAAAAAAGACTCACCCCTCTGCAAAGTGCCGGCGGGTAAGACTGCCTTGGAGGAGAAATGGCGCGGGCCGTTCTGATGGCACGACAGCCAGGCACCATTCGGCCGGGAAACAGCGCATCGCAGCGGAGTTGCCCGCAGTCGAGAGGCGAGCTTAATTTGCCAGGTCATTATGTCGGCTCTCTTGTTCCAATATGTCGGCCAATTGCACGATTATGCCTTCTCCACCGTGGGGGGCTAGCGGGGAGACGTCGTGACAGGGTGCTCCTTGAAGCAAAGAGAAAGGCAAGGCCGTCTGATAGGCCGACAATGAACAGAAAGAATGCCTGATCGTGGGCCGGAGAGCAGATCCCAGACGGAGAAAAAAAGCAGAAATCCACGAGGGAAATCCCACGGGGCGGTGAGCAGATGACTCAGCTGATTCCCTCACCGGGTCAGGAACCGTTCCTTTCCTTTTATGTGAAGGGCATTGTCAGAAAGGAAATGATCGTGTCGATTCTATGCATGGAGACTTGATCTATCGACTGGCAAATGTGTAAACTGTACAGATGGGCGTCGCACTGCGTACTCTTTGGTGGCTTGAGGCTAGGTGGCTGAGGACTGCGTTACACCCATGTCTGCTATGGTTGGTCCAATGAAGACCAGTCATCCCCATGATCCCACACGCTCTCCGGAGCCTCCCGAACTTCGGCTCGGGTACGGAGTATCTACTACTTGACTAGAAAGATAGGCTCTACGACTTGCCTGGTTCTACCATATGTCGGTGGGAATAGCTTTGGCCCACTCCCTACAACTCGCCGATTTCCTTGAGGTCATGTTGTCTTCAGGTCATTATATGTATGATACAGCAGCCTCACGTGTCTGGACGCTCGCAGTGTCAATGGTCAACGGTGTCAAAAGATGTATAAATCACTGAGTCTCTCATCTAGCGAGTCATAAACCATGTCTGGTGAGTCAAGATCAGACCACTCCTTCCCTGGCAAGAACCCCCCTAGCTCCGTTCGCTTCCTCGCAACCGCACGGCTTGTCCGTACTTTTGCAGTTTCGTAATCAGAGCGTCACCGTGCTTCACAACATCCGCGTACTGCTTGTTCTTGTCGTCCGGTCGGTTCGTCTCAATGATGCCATTGACCCGGTCGATGGTGCATGCAATCCGGTTGCTGGCGATGAATTTGGCAAGATCCCTGTAGTTGTCAGTCAATGCAACCTAACAAGCAATGCTTCAGTGGCAGACTTACCGATCCAGGTAGTCTACGGTGACGCCGAAGTCGCTGGCCATGCTGTTCAGGCCAACAACGCGGTAGCTCTGGAGCAGTTGCTGGTACGCGCGAAGTCTCATCTCGCGCACAAACCACGCGCGGTGCTCGTGCAAGTAGCGGTCCTGGTTCAGGAAGTTGTCCTCCACGGCTGCCAATGCTACGAAGAAAGTGCGGTAGTTGCCGGTATACAGGCTGTCGACCAGGTTTGCAAGAGGCGAAAAGTCCACGGGCGCTTCGGTTTCAGACTGAATGCCAGATCCCGCTCCCAGAGTAGTGAGGTTAACCACAGTGGTAGCTGTGGTTGGCGTGGCTCTAGTGACAGTAGCATCCTTCATCTCCTCATCCTGGGCTCCGGGCCCGGAGGATACCTCGCCGGTCAGAGCAGCCAAGCGGTCCTCTCCAGGTCCAAGAATGGCCTTGATCTCGGGTGCATCCACGACCTTGGCCTTGAAGTCGACTCGCTTCAGGGATAATGAGCCCGCAAGGATCGAATAGATGACCAAGGACGAGTAGCTGCACAGTTCGTAGCTGGTGAAGGTCGAGAGACTGTCGAGTAGCAGAGGGGCAGCAAGGTTGTAAGAACGGATGGTGAGTAGATGTAGGCCCTTGTAGGCCTTGAGGCGGTTTCTCCGGTCCCAGTCGCCGCCACTTTCAATCAGAGTGTTTGCCCGCTCAATGCTCTTCTTGACAGAATGGGTATCGCCGAAGAAAAGACCAATCCGGATCATGGCCAGCATCAGGTCGATCTTCGTTCCGAGGAATGTCGTCTTCTCAAGGAGGGCCTCGTGGGATTCGATAGCTTTGTCCTGCAAGCCACGGATTGAGGTTAGCATATCAACCAATATGCGGGGCTGATTTCGAATAGACTCCTAGCTAGAGCTTTTCATGACATACCTTATCGCCTACACGGGCCCAGAACTCGGCGCGCTTACCCCGTGCGGCCAGCACCTCAGTTTCCCCGGCGGCTTCCTCAGCTTCGTCCTCCTCCTTCTGGAATGTTTCCAACTCCTTTCGGTTGTCTTCCACCAGTGACTGATACAGAGATTCATCCCAGGGGAAGTCTATGTTCTGAGGCGACTTCCGCGAAGCCAGCATATTTGACGTAATCAGGGACTTGGTCGGGTGCTGGGCGACACCCTCACCGGAGTGGTTCAGAATGCCTTCGACGGGATGAGCGAGGTGTCGGTAAAAGGGAGCCATCTTGTTCTCGGAAATAACATCTTGAAGTCTCTTCAATGATGTCTGTCGCACTGTTTGGGGGCATGCAGGGTTGGAGAGGTTGAAGACATGTTGGGCGAGGTTGAGATCAGGGTACTTTATGTACTGCGGATCGGACCCCATGTTGACGAAGGGGGCTTAGATATTGAGCTGAAAAGGAGACACGTATAGACAATGTAATGAAGGAGCTATGGAGCGAAGCTTGAAGGTCAAGAGAGCAGAGGGTCTGGGGTCGATGATGGATGAGGCAGATACATCACCTATGGAACGTAGCTGACCCGAGCTCAGCTGGGGAAACGTTGTTCCGGTTGCCGAAGCCGCTTCCAAGTTTCAACAGCCATTCCATCAATTCATACGCTGAACACCATCGAGACATAAATAAAATCGTAATATCTGGATAAAGGGCTCTGCCCAATATAATAGTTACGAATGTTGTGTTGCGGTCGGTGGACTTTAGCAATGCAACGCGTATCGTATCGATTCAAAGACAAGCCGTCAATGACAACTCGAGCGAATGCTTCTAGGCCGCTTGATTATTATGCTTGGCATCTATCATTAGACGAGATGTTCAAAAGCCATTATAGCTTCCTTCTAATTGTTCTCTGCAACATGTAGAGGTCGATGTCACATGACTGTGTATAATTGGCGGACTCCGGAACAGCAACCGAGGACAGAATACCAAACGTAGAAATGATGTCTGCGAACGAAGTAAAACCATTATAGAATTTCCGAAGTGTCACCGCGGGTATGTTGCGCGTATACTACGTACAGATGATCATCCACGGAGTTGACTGTTTTGGTGGGTTCCGTGATTAGACTGGAGTAAGATGATCTAGATACTAGTAGTTGTTGGGTGGATAGAGGACCACACGTGCGCTCATGGCAGGCTAATAACTAACTACGCAGCTTGATCACTCGGAGCTAACCGTGGATTGTAACGGATACCGTTCATCGACGCTGCTTCCTTCCAACTGAATTGCCACTCATGGGCGAGTTCGTATGAAAGAGAGCTTTAATACCTGCAAAGTAGTAGTTCGATATAAGGTCAGCTAAGGGTGCAATTGCCACCAGATCACTGAAGATGTGGCGGAAAGCCACATCCGACATTTGGTGCTTATCATTTGCATCTGGGATGTAGTCTGTTCTTAGTCTTGAGAGGCGGCAGATATATCCGTAAAGTAGGCTAGGTGGTAATCGGGTCTGACATGCGAACTTGTACTTGGATGGCAAGGTTACCTCGGGGTACTCCGGTATCAAAGGCTGTTTGTCCACTAGTCGGAAAGCATTGTCCGCAAGTGGCTGGTAAAGGTATAATCCCTTACTTAGCACCAAGTATACCTCATTTATGAAGGATTTTTCGGACCTTGGAGCGATGCTCGGCTTCTTGCAATAACGTACAGGAAGTGCTGCGTCTAGCACGTGCTATGGGGCGAGTAAAAATTTTCCGTATCAGACCAGACAAGGTCGACGAGGCTAAAGAATCTCGCATATGCTTCGATGAGATTCGGCTGTTCAAATCAAGACTGAGGCATCAGCGAATAACAGCACATGGAGATGGGGTGGACTACACCTTAATAGGCATAGTGCATAGCTGGGCTTGATAGGGAAGATGGGGTACTGGGATCCACTTACCTTCTTGACCCGCGGTGATACTGACGCTAAGGCTACACAGGGAGGGGCCAATACAACCTCGCCGGCCTGCTTAGCGTGAGAAATGGAAGACCAAGGATCAAAGAGGAAATCCATCATGTGCCTTGACGCTGTTCTCTCGCTGGTCCTCTTGCCCACCCAAAGTTTTTTTTTTCAGTTCCTTTTTCCCTTGTACTTATACCTCGAGAATCCTGTTTCTTCCCCTCTCCTTTCCACTGATCTTTTACTTTCACGCCCTCTGATATATAGGCGCAATCGCCCTTTAATTGTTCCTCCTTCGTTGGCTTCCGAGTCCCTCATCTTGGCAAAAGTACCTTTATTCCCTCAAAGACAATTGCTCTGTGTATACACACAGTGAACCAAGTTCTCTTCGTTTGCAACAATCCAAGGCTGCGAACCTATATTGACCTGCAAAAGCAGTCAGCATGGAGCCAAAACCGGACGTTGAGTCCAAGGTCGATGTTCCTCCCGAAAAGGCCCCCGCCTCTCTTGACGCGGTTCCTCTGGAGGAAACTGCGGTTGGCAAGAGCCGTTGGGAGCGCAGTTGGCCCACGATTGCATGCGGCGCTGGTCTTTTCTCTGATGGCTACCTCAATGGGGTTCGTTCACTTGACATGGATTACTTTTGTGGCCGTTGGTGGTCTTGCTAATATGGCTTGTCTACAGATCATTGGACCTGTAAATACCATCTTGAAGAGACTGTACCCTGAAGAATACTCCAACTCACCCGCCAGCCAAAATGTATCCTCTATTACTTTCGCCGGTACTGTGGTCGGCATGCTTATCTTTGGATACACAAGTGATCACTGGTCGAGAAAATGGTCTTTAATGATCTCTACGATAATCCTGTTCCTCTTTGCCGCTCTGTGTGCTGGTGCCTATGGGTACCATAACAGCCATTATGGTCTGTTTGCTGCCCTTACTGCATACCGTTTCTTCTTGGGAATTGGAATTGGCGGCGAGTACCCTGCAGGGTCTGTTGCAGCCGCGGAGAACACTGGTGAACTCAAGCAAGGCCATCGCAACCGATGGTTCGTGATGTTTACCAATTTCCAAATCGACTTTGCCTATGTTGTCTCCGCCCTGGTTTCAATGATATTGGTTTTGATTTTCACTGAAAACCATTTGCGCGCGGTTTGGCGTATTGGTTTGGGACTCGGTGTCATCCCACCTCTTAGTCTGATCTATCTCCGGTTGAAGTTGGAGGAGCCCGAGGAGTTTAACCGTGAGCGCATGCACAAGTTCCCTCTTTGGCTGATTATCAAGTAAGCTGCCTGGCTATGATCAGTTATTGCGTTCAGGACTAATCGCGCATTCACAGGTTCTATTGGAAGCGTCTGGTTTGTGACTCTTCCTAGCCAATGCGCAGAGTATTACTGACCATAAACAGTTTATATGCTCATTGATCTGGTTCCTCTATGATTTCTCTTCTTATTCTTTCAGCATCTACTCGTCTGACTGGATCGCTATTATCCTGGGAGACAGTGCTCCTCTCTGGCAGAGCTTCGGTTGGACTACACTGACATATACCTTCTACATTCCCGGATCTTTTCTAGGAGCACTGTCGAGTGATTGGCTGGGGCCCCGCAATACCCTGGCCCTCGGTGTCTTGCTGCAAGGCATTGTTGGGTTTATCATGTCTGGCTGCTATGAGTATCTTTCAACGCCTAAGAATGTCGCAGCATTCGTGGTGGTTTTCGGGTAGGCTCTGAATTGTATCACCTCACAATCTCATCTGCTAACTACAAACCTAGCATTTTCTCGAGTCTTGGTGAGTTTGGCCCTGGCGACAACATTGGACTGTGCTGTGCCAAGAGCAGCGCAACCGCTGTACGAGGCCAGTTCTACGCCATCGCTGCGGCAGCTGGAAAGATAGGCGCGTTTGTTGGGACTTATGTGATCCCGATCATTCAAGACAACGCGCCTAACAAGATCCGGTCCGGTCAGGACCCCTTCTTCGTCTCCAGTTCACTCTGCATCTTTAGTGCTGCTTTGGCCTTTTTCCTCCTGCCAAACATCGGACAGGTATGCCATATTTGCTGATTCCGCCCAGGCGAGAGTAGGCTAATCGGTCCTACAGGACACCATCACATATGAGGATGCCAAATTCCGGGCCTATCTAGAGGCTCATGGTTACGACACTTCTGCCATGGGCAACCGAGAGGAGCGGTAGTCGATTTCCCCCTGCAACCTGCGCGCCTTGCGGACCTGCTAAAACCACGCATCTGAACCGCTTGCCCGGTCAACGTCCCAGCCTAACAAGCACCAACCTTCCCGTACCCCAAGCGACATTTCAACAGACGAACGGCCCATGCAACATCCTTTAAGAAAGCCCAAGCAGCGAATGCGCGATGACCAACAATCAATGTTGGTGTGAAGATGCCCAAGCGACCCCGGAAGAGAACACGCCCAGAAGCGCAATTTTGGTAACAAACAATTCGCCCGATCGGAGCCCCTGGAAAGGATGCTCGGGATCATAAGTTAAGAGAGTATGGATAATGACTCGATGACTATGTGTCAGTGATGTAATGTATAGAAATACTATTATTATGCTTTATATTCTTTTGTCGGAGGAAAGAAAATAAGCAAGCAAAAAAAGTGATTGTTGAAGACGAGCTGGACCCGTAGTTCGCATGGCGGGGAGAGTGGATTAGGGAGGATCTTGTGATTGACAGCTTGGATGGTCCGACCAGCCGAGGTTCCAACTTCCGAAGTCTTTCACCTCCAACAGACGGGCGATCGCCGGCCGCTCATTTACCGATCCTATCATCCAGCAGCCAGCCCTCGACCCCTACTACTACTAATATCCTTTTCTCCGCCCCTCCCCCATCTTTTCTTCCTTCCATCCTTGGTGCGGAGTATCCTTTTCATCTCCCGTCTGTATCACACCTTGAACCTCTCCTCTCCATCCGCCAGCCAGCCAGAGCTTCGCCTTCCTTTACCGTCCCCACGCCGTCCCGACACCGCGCGGAATTCGACTCCCGCCTTTTTCAACCCTTTCAATAAGTCACCGACACCTTCTCGAACCCTTTCCATCAACCCAACACATACACCAGCCATTATCAATATGGTCGCAGACGCTTTGGTTTACCACCCTGCCTTGGCGCATTACCTGCGCTTTGTCGCAACGACGGGTACGTGCCGACATTCTATCTGTCCTGCGCTGCTGGTTTCTCGGCCGGGAGAGAGCAAGGTGCCTCAATGCAGGGGACCTGCCTCTCGTGCTTTTGGAGGATAAATTAAAGGGATTGCAGAATATCACTAACCCTTCCACAGTCGGTCGCGATAAACTCCTCCGAACCTTGCAATACTTCTCCCGCTTCTATGCTTGGTACCTCTACCGCACCAACCGCCCCCAGTCCGCCATCGAGCCTTTCAACGCCGTCAAGAAGCAGTTCGGAACAACTCGGAAGATTTTGCGGATCGGCAAGTTTGTTGAGCATCTGAAGGCAGCTGCTCTGGCCTCCGATAACAAGAACCCTGTTGACCCTGTACTCCGTTATCTCGCCGTCGGCCGTCAGCTCGGCTACGCGGGCTACCTCTCTCTCGACACAATCACCGTTATCGATACGATCGGTGTTCGTAAGCTCGCTTCGGCCAAGCGACTGCAGGAGCACGCTTACCGCTCATGGATGGCGGGCTTGGTCTGCAGTGCTGTCGCGGGTGTATACACTCTGTTCAGGTTGCGAGAGAAGGAGAAGACCCTCGACCGCAAGGAAGGCGAAGGTGTCGTGGAAGCCAAGAAGCTTGAGAAGTATGTTGTGTTTTTTCTGGTCTGATCCTCTCGCGCTGAATCAGTGTACTAACATTGTACTTTCAGGGAGCGCTCTGCCGCACGCATTCAGCTTATTTCCGACCTTTGTGACCTGAGCGTGCCAGTGTCCGCTCTCGGACTGGCATCTCTCGATGACGGTATTGTGGGTCTCGCAGGAACGGTCAGCAGTTTGATCGGAATCTGGTCCCAGTGGCGGAAGACTGCGTAAGCGGTCGCTGCTAGGACTGCATCATGGAGATCGATATCAACAAGGCCTTATAGATAGTTCTTTCTGGCCCTCATCAAACGCCGTCTGCGCGGTTATTGATACTGGAATTTGACACGCCGGTGAATATCGGTGTGCTCAGACAAAGCGAGAGACAAATACTGACGGGTTGGACTAACTGAGCGTTTCATGTGCGAGGCGGGTCCCAGCCATTTATTCAACGGATTCATGTAACTTAGAGCTTATTCCCTTTGTTTGCTTCAGCCAAATATCATTTATCCTCTGTTGCACCTGTTACTCTCCGGTTATACCATTTCTTTTTCGGCTCTTTATTTATTCCCATTTTCCGGCTGAAGTTGATCCATCGCTTCCACCCTACACTTGCAGGTCCGAGCCACTATCGGATATGTCAACTGGCCGTGTTTCGCAAGAGGCCCCTTGCAGCCCTCGCATTCAGGCACTCAGGCTGGCGGCTACTCGCAGCAAGAGCAGCCAGTTTCTGAATCAACCTAGTCCTCCCCACCACAGTGCATAATCTGGCCTTTGTCTCAACGCCAGCGGGTTATTATGGCCATTGAGCCTGGAATTCCTAAAACAGTTATATGTCGCCAATCGAACCTTGCCTGACCAACAATTGCCCTCTTTTTCTCCTTATATCTTCATTGATCGAGCTGTCTTGCATACTGGGCTGCAGTACCACAGTACCATTTGACAGGCAAATCCAGAGCCACCTGCATCATCAACCAACTTGGTATGCTATTTTTGTCTTTCCATAATCTTATTGTTATCAACATCTTGCTTCCTTCCATCCCTTGTTACTTACTGATAAGCCTTCTTTGCTAATAGACTATACGTTTACACGCTACATTGCCCACGGTCTATTACATTCCTAGACGTACGTACGAACCGAAAGCTTAACCTCAGACCGGCATGCAAATCTGTCTTCCGCCCATCGGGATGCGGCCTGGCCTCTTCATTCCTGGTTCATTCCTATCTACGCCTCGCAGCCAAGCTTCGAAGCTGCAATCCCTCCTGCAAGGGAGGCGTATCAGGACCCACTATGTATGCATCCTGTCGGAATGGTGTGACAGCACCAGGCTCTTGTACAGTATAGTA